AGGCCTAAACTCGAAACCCTAAGCCCACACCCCAATGCCTAAAGCCTAAACCTCTAAACCCCAAGCCCTAAACTTTGGGCCCTAGAGCCTGAATCATAAACCCCTAAACCCAAAGGCAATGCCAGGAAACCCTCCATTGATGTAGTGAACGCTGAGGGCTCTCCTTTCTGACTCCTGTGCTATAGCTTTGGGGGGTTCCCTGTAAACAGGGATCTGAAATTGCGAAGATGTTTGTTCAAGTGTGGAGGCTTGGGGGTTGCTCTTTAGGCTTGGGGTTCAGTGTACCAATTGAGGGTTTAGGGGGGAATGTCTTAAGGACTAGATTCGAGGGATTAGAGTCTAGAGCTCCAGGATTTGCGGCGTCGTGCTTAGGGATTAGGATTGAGGATTAGGGGATTGGCGCGTATAGACCTGGGATTGGTTTTACAGTTTTGCAAGTTAAGGATGATGGTTGAAGAACTGCAGCTCAGGCTGCTCTTATGTGCCTGCGTCAGAACCACAATGAAACACGCCTTGGGAGACCCTGCACATGAAGCGCATTGCCTCCCTTTGCAATGCCCATGATGCTGCTGGAGTGGATGCATGAGAGCTTCGTCTAGGTCTCTATTATACTTGCCCATGATGCTGCCTTTAACACCACGGTGGTATCTGTCTCCAAACCTTTGGCGCTACGAAGCTCTATAGCTGGATCCTGACATGCAAGCAAATCAATCCATAGCCAGCGATACGTGCCAGCCCAACTGAGAAGCAGCTTGAGCTGAAGGTTGATTTCGGGTCTTTTGGATTTTTTGCGAACATTTCTTCAAATTGCGGACCCCTGATGTCCCCCACATGCCTCAGTCTGTACAAGGTAGGATCTACACTGGGAGCAATGTTTTCCTGGGATGACTGAAGCTTTCTGTCGACGCGGGAAGCCTTTTCAGTCGGTCAGATGCAGAGGTGCGAGGTGTCTGAATCATGCGTGAGACCACCAGATAGCACCAGCACTGCTACTTCTACTCCTACTACTCCTCCAACAACACCAGCACCCGGAACTGCATACATGGGTAGCCTTCTTGAAAAGCTGAAAAGAAACGTATCTTTAGATTCTTTAGGTAAAAACCTACTTACAAGCAAACTCAAAAATCTGAGTACCTACAGCCCGCAAACAAACTTAAAGCCCTCGACCCCGAAACCCTACACCCAAACTCCCCCCCAAGAATTTGAATCCCAACAGCCCTGTGCCCCCAACCTCAAATCCAACACCCTCCCTTTCTCCTGTCGCGCACGCTCCCTTGTCCCCTCGAGCTTTGAGGCTGTGGCCATGGAGCGTCTCTTGTACAGCGATGCATACTGTATTAATACTAACAACAATGAAAATCTGAGTAAGAATGATGATAACATTATTAGTAGGACTATTGAATAATAGTAGTAATAATACTAATGGTACTCATCGTATAGACTCAATATTGCAGGCTTCTTTAAAATCAGCCGTACCATTTTTGGCAGTCCCCGTATAAATTAATGATAATAAGAATTAGAACATGTTTTGGGGTTGCCCCTGTTGCTGAAAACTTTCTTATGGGGCTAACAGGATCCTTCATGGGGAGTAGGATCAAAAATTGGGATCTAACCACGGTCTGCAGTTAAGGAGTCCGTTTGACGTACGGGTTGTTAGTAGGAAATATGGGAATGAATTCCCTACATACTCCCTACAGCGTATCTTCCTTTATCCCCCTAACAACCAGTAAGTTTAGGGCAAACACTCTAAGGAGGACTTCCTTTGAAGCCACTATGCCTGCAGCAGGTAATGATGGAACAGCTTGGGAATGTTTGTCTCTCCGGTGCAGGGACCCTGTTGGGGGTTCCTGAAAAATTTGGGGTCCTTGCCGGAGTCTCCACAATAAAGGTTTAAAATTTGAGGGTCTTTCTTAGGGACCCTATTTCCAGCTCATTTCCGCGTTTAATACGAAAACTCCAGCTTAAGACTTCAGACATGGCTAGGTATGAGCCCAACATCACGGGTGTCAGAGCATCTTAGCGCTGGCACGCTTGACACAGTTCCTCCAGATTGCTAACCGTACAAATATTCAGTCCCCACCTCCCCTTAAATGCCATAAAGGAAAGCAGAACCTCACCCCCTTGCTTTGGACCTGAACGTGCCAAGGCTATGTCCGGAAATGAATGCCTTCTTCTACATTTGAATGACTAAGAGCCTTCAGAAGCTGACAAGGACCGCAAATAGGAACCCGCGATCGCAAACAGTCCCAGGAATGATCTCTTGTTGAAACCCACGACATACGCGAAGTGCGAAGGTCTACGAAGCAGAAATGGCCGGCGAAGCACGGAGCAAATCCGATGGTTAAGCCACGCAAGCTCTGCACTTTTACACATATGTACCGTACACACAAACATGAACATCAGCCAGTCTGTCTAGATATGGTCGTTTCCCTAAATAGGGGGACCCCAGTATAGACCCCAAAATACTATAATCTTTATTATGGGGACACCAAAATCGTACCCCTTATTTTGGGAAATCCGCAATATGCGTGTGCAAGTTGTCACCATGTGGCTGGATGGCTGACTTTGTGTCCCCTTTTTCACCTACGGGTCCTTTTCATCCTTGCACGCATCTCAGCCATGCGATCCTGCGAGGCCGAGTCGGCTTCTTACCGGTGCTTAGGGATTAGGTTTTGGGTTTAGGGTGTAGGGTATAGGGTTTGGGGTTTAGGGCAGCAGTACGAGGGTTTTGGCAACCCCAAACCCAGCCATTAGGACACTAACAAACTATAGTGGGACTATATCTATTAGAGTCCTCATGTCAGAATGTGGATGCCTCTAACAAGCTCTATATCATCCTGTATAACAATCCGAATATTCACTCTCGCGCTCCCCTTAGGCACCCGTAAGGCTCCGGTTGAATCAGGTGTGGGATGTATAGCTTTGGCTCTAAATGGCTTTCGCGTAGAGACTTTGGCTTAGGATTTGGTAGCTGATGGTCTTTTTGGGGTTTTTAAAATAATTGGCCTCGAAAATTTAGGACACCCAAATGCGGACACATATTACCAAGCAACCGACTCTGCACAGGGTACAGCGTGGCCTCGACGCGAAGACCAGCGTAGGCTAACAGACTCCAGTAGTTCATATCAGCCATAGTCTAAACTCCTAGTATCCCCCTTGGTAGCCCCTATAATACCCCCCCTTTCTGATCCCTTCCACAACCCCCTGTAAAGAGTTTAGACTATGGCTCATAAAAGTTATCTAATTGGAATAGGGTTTGGGGTTTGCGGTATATTAGAAACTGACCACGTAATCCGCCGACCTTGCGGGGCGTGTTGGATGGGGGGTATGCCGTGCCCGCTTCCCTCCAGGCCTCCACCTCCGCGGCAGCCGTTTCAGCCGTGACCCACCCCTTCTTCTGCCTCCCACCAGGAAACTTTTCAGAAGACGAAAAACTGGTCAAGCAAGCCGTTTTGGTGGCCCGCGCCCCAAGCCCCTGGAGGCCCCCAAGCTGCTGGGAGCCCAGGCCCCAGCCCCTGTAACCTTAGCTTGTTCGACTGATTGCCTTTCACTAGGAATCTGCTTCAAGAGTCACACGTGCTCGCTTTTGGTGTCGTAATAGTTCTAACCCTAAA